TGGGAATCTAAAGTCAACTGACTTTTGCACCGTCTTTCTATCGCCATGACTCATAATAGGGTGTTTCATTTAGAAAATAGTGTGATTCACGAAAACGCGTGCCATAAAATAAATCAAGTACTTAGGATTGAAAGCAAATTAAACATTGATGGAAGCTATATGTATTCGGTAGCGCCGATCTCGCTAATAAATCGGCCATAATTGAACAATAGCTGTTATCCTTCGAACAAGTAGCCCCGATACTAGTCTACTTTATTCCTCATGCAGACCACTGTTGCCTACGTTTTCTCTTCAACTATCCGCACGATTTCTGTCCGGCATCGTTCCATCGCGATCGCAGTAACTAGTAACGAGCGTGGCACTGTCGAGTGGATGCCAGCTAACGGGATCTGTAGTGATCAAGTAGGTCAGATGAGTCGATACCGTCTCCTTTGTCCCCTCGATTAAACAGCCGTACGCGTCAAGGTCTCAGCACTGTTCGTTTTCGCGGCACGCGTTAAACGTAACAGGTATTCCCGTTCCTTCAACTGGTATTACAGTATTACCTTTCCAAGTGGCATCGAGCTTTACACCTTTCGCCACGGTTGACCGTGCGAATCGCCACTTCGCTAAGTGATTTCACTTGTGCGAAATTCGATGCTCAACTTTCGAGCTTCTGATCGTTTCCAAGAATATTTCCAAGAGAATTTAGATCGCGAGGGGAGGAATTCCCTCGATAATAACCGATTCCCTCTTGGACGTCTCCACGGCGCCACTTCCGGCGTCGCGACGTTTACCATTAAGACCTACATCCAGGGGACGCCCTCCGAGCAACCCTCGTTTCGAAACCGAAGCTCCTTCGACTCGGAAATTAGACGTACAAGTTGCCTAAGATTCCATTTGAAAAAATGCAAACGCACTAAAATATCTCAGACACAACAACGTCGTAACCGAAAACTTTACCTCCAGCCAAAAGATCTAAATATAAAAATAATGTCCGTCGATCGAGGAAAATATTAAACGTTCTCATTTGCTTCTTTTTTTTTTTTCTTTTTGTTATAACATAGAAGCTCATTTCCGTTCGACCCACTTATTCGGTGCACGTATCACAGCAGCGACGCTATTTAATCCATCGGTTTATTTAATCTGCCAACATTATCCACCGAGCAGGAACTCGAAATGCACTCACGTGCCCGGTAAATATAGACGTTCCACTTGGCACTGGTGCAGAAAGGATCAAGGTGTCGTAGAACGACGCCTTTATGACGATCGTCGAGCTGGCTTATTCTACATTTGCGTGAAAAAATTCTTCAACTTAATAATTTATTGTTGCGAAAATTTCAAAACGATATAGGACCGAATTTATAAAGAGTGAATTTTTAAATCGATCTTCAAGTACGATTTCAACGCGTTTCTTTTTCTGGCCTGTCGACGACCCGTTCCGGATAAATCCATGCAAATGGTGGACATCCGTGATGCAACGTCATCTTTCCGATATTTCGACCGAATTCCAAATGCGACAGCTGTGATCGACGTAAATCCTCGATGCAATCGGCTCTTCCTGCTCGTAATGCACCGCGAAAAGTTGTTTCTTTTTTTTTTTAAACACGTCTTTACGGTTCGCGAATGCAGCACGAAACGATAATCCATGAAATTTTTTGCTCCACCGCTTTTTCGCCGCGCAAGAAGTTTCTGATAGCGATTCTCCGCGCGAATATAAATGAAAAAAAAAAAAATGTAGAATAAAGTTTGTTTTATACGGAGCAGAAGGGTATAACAGTTGAAGTCGATAGATAACGTGGCCAGGTGCATCGATCAAAGAGAACGTATTGCATTAATAAAACGCGGCGTCGAACGCAAGGCAATACCAAATGCAAACCAATCTCAGACGGCTATCTCGAAATATCGATGCAAAAATACTCGCTGGATGAATAGGAAAAATATCGATACTGCTGCATCAGTGTCACTGAGCCAATAGAAAAAGATAACTACGACGAAAATTACATTTCGTCCAGGTGTGTTTCATTTTTTCATCTCCTACAATTCATTCGTTTATTGAATGAACAAACTTTTCCCATTTTTTTTTCTCTCTTTTTACGTTTCCATTTCATTTTAATTCATGGTTTCAGTTGTTTGAAAAGGACTTTATTAACTATTAAAAAATATTTCCACGTTCAAAGCGTTCTTGTAATTTCAAAACAATTCCAACGATGTATTTGGCAATACATTTTCCTGTAAAACGACACTAACGTGATCGAATATCCCTGCGATTTTATTTCAATTTGAGAGCATTCGAGAAACCGGTTAGGTTGATCAATCAAATATAATTGTATTTCATTCGCGGCAAAAATCGGAACAAAAGGTGGCCGAATGTCAAAAAGCGATGAAATAGCGAATGGACAAAAGGAATGCTAGGGGAAAAAAACGAGAAAATTATCGGACAGTGAAGCGAATCGTGGTTGCTGGTGCATCGTCATGCATTCCACGTCGAACGAACACGATGCACGTGTCACAAGGCTGCTCCACTATTAAACGTATTCCGTGTTGATGCATCTGCTCCCATCGCGTAGACAATTTCCCTTTAACGGTGTTTACACAGAATAGAAATGTCACGGTGTTGGATGAATGGTATGGCAACATTGACTTATCCGAATGTTACGCTGCAGCTATGATTATCCGATCTAATTGTTATTACACAACTATCGAAGGACTTACGTGCGTGATTATTAATTACTTTTGATATTCCTTTAACTTCTTAAACTTGTTCGATAAAACAGTTACTGTTTCCCCTTTTAAAAGAAGGGAAGAAAGTTTCTCGAGTACCGTCGAAAGTGGAGGCCGATAGCTCCGCCGTCTAAGAGGAGTTTTAATATGATTTCCTAACAACAATAGAGGAAATTGAGTTTTTCAAGTGCATCTTCGATGCGGTTGGAAAAAGTTGGCGATTTGTCTGCGGTTCCCGTCCCCCCTTTGTCCGGTCCCGTTCAAATTTCTTCCCCCTTTCTTTCTTTCGTTTCTAACGAGATTTCTCGACGCACAATGAAACTGCCCTCCTCCTCTTTCACGGGGGATATTCGTTTGCGATGGTCATTTAAGGGAAGGGTTTCTTTTATTCCTTTGACCGAACAAGTTCCTGGATATCTCGTTTCCGGGAATGAATAATTCCTCGTTACTTTCATGAAAATTCTGACGTCGGTTTTCGAAGTAGCTAAGGGAATACAAAGTAAATCCCTTCGTTCCCTGAGGAATTCGTTGCTCGCCGAATCTCGTCGAGATGGATCGGTGTTCGGAAGGAACGATGCGGTCGTGTTTGTATGGTATGCCGAAATTCCGGCAAGATCTTTCGGCTGGTGGACGCGCGTGTCGGAGCATGCGGAACGGTTGCGGCCGATGTAAAGAGGAATCGAGCGTCGCGACGCGTCGCATCGCGCGTCGGAGGGCGTAATTGAATCTCACGGTGGCGGGGCTGGCCTGTTAGCGGCGGCGTGCGGCCATAATGAGTAACCGGATGTTTTGCGGACATGGGAACGGCACGGAACGATATAGAACGGAAGCAACCGTCTGAGAGGAATTACCACAGGAACCGCTTCGTTGCGGAACAGAGCTAGCTGCAGACACGGGGAAGGGACAATTTATCGCGCGCAATTAAGCCAATCTCCGAAACTAGGCCATCCTCGCGTACCTAAGGTTACGTAAGAAGCACCGACTCATTTTAGTCGGACACCGTTTAACGGATATGAATGCTTTATCCTTTGACCTGTCCCCTTTTCCCTTACTCTTCCAATGTATTCCGCGTCTGATGTACGCGTAAGTCGTGACGAGGATAACAAGTAGCGATAAATAATTTTCATTAGCTAGTCGGTAACGATTTAAAACGAGAAATAGTCGCTACAAGAAAGTACATTCAAATCGGACAATAAATTGTTCCCGTAGGGTACTCGAACTTTTACTTTGGAACGTGATTAAAATTCAGCTTCGTGCCCGCGCCGGCGGGAATACCGAAACTACGTACACGTATAATTCGATACAGAAACGTGCAATATTGGAATTATTTAAACGATGAATATTCCGATGGAACATTTTAACTTTTCGTTATTCATCGGTATTAAACTATCTCTGGGATTGCACTGTAGGTTTTTCTCACGCGATTCATTCCATTCTTTTCAAGAACGCATTTCCATTCATTTTCCACTCGAGTAAACAGATCCACTAGTACTAATTAACGTTAATTAGAAACACTTTAGGAGAAAGGTCGTTTTAAATAAATATAATACAGTTCTCTCGAATAAAACGTGTTGCGGTTTATTCTTTTTTTTTTTACAATTTTTTACATAAGCTTGGTTCCTGTGATATTAGTAAAACGAATTTTTTCCCTAGATTTCAGGCCGGTATTGACGGAACCGGTGGAAAAATTGTTCGCGTTCCAGTTCTCTGCTCCGTTCGAATACCATCGTATTTTCGGGGACAAAATTCCCCGCATCGTTCGCGTTAACAGACGCTCGTTGTTCGCAAAAATAGTGCACTGGATTCAATTACTCTGCCTGTTGTCGCATTCTCTAACGCTGGAGCACTTTGGAATTTCAAATTCAACCGGAACTTTCGTTGCCGTTTCGTTGATGAAACGTTAAACTCGCAATTTTCCACTTTTCCAATCTGAATGCGATTCGGCTGTCTATTTTAAAGATGAGCCTTCCCGAAGCGCAATGTATACCTGTAATAAATAAAGGTGCGACGAGTGCAAAGTGCGAGCAGGAAATTCCTGCAGTGAAAGTTCCCGCGATTGGATCGTTTTTTTCCAAGAAACAAAGATTGGCTATTGCAGATGCAGCGTGCCATTTCGATGCGGCCGTAAATATCGAAAGTATTCGTATCCAACGTTTCTCTATGACTTCCAAGAAAAATTGAAATGAACTTGTAACAAGAATTGAGCTATCTCTATCGCGGCAATCAACGTATCGAAATATTGTAAATATTTAACAGAAACGGTCAATGTTGTAACACGCGAAACGTTTGATTTACAGCGTCCGGATCTGGATCGGTGATAGGCAGAGATCCGCTTCCACCAAGGGCTGTCAGCACGTCGCAGTTGGCTCAGAGAACGCAAACGCAGCCCCCAACCACCGTGTCCACCCTTCCATTATCAAGAAATAACGCATCGCACAGGCAACCGTTGCCACTTCAACAATCCACCCCTCAATCGGTCAGGCAATCGGACACCGACGCGATGTCAAACTCGCAGCTTTTGCGAGCAGCCAGCAACGGTGATATTGGAACAAATTCTGTGATGTAGGTCAAAGAGATATTAGTGATTGTTATTTCTTTTTTTATGGCAGTTACTAAATAGGTTGTAATATTTGAATTGCAGGATAAACAGCAACGAAGGAAAGGACCAGAGGTTAACATCCCCTGGGGGTCACTCCAATCAGCGACTAATTAGTCCGGCAGGAGCATTAAGGGTTGTTTCTTTGAACGACCATCGAGTTTCCAGCCCTAGCGACAGCGATATACGAATTCATAGTCCAAGTATGTACACGTTTCTTTATTTCTTTATCTACGATCGCTTTGATAAAGCTTTACTTCGTTGAGCTGAACTTTATTAAGTTTCAAGGATTATGAATTCATTTTCGAATCATATTGAAGGTGGCCTGTATCGGTTACACTGTAATACTTAGCGTAATATCACGATAACGGGCAGATAATACATTATTGAAGAAACATTAGCGAGAGTAGCCGATGTTCGAATCTGAATAGCGGTTAAGCGATATCGAGCCAATATTTGCTTCATACCAGATTCTTGTCTGGGTCAGTGCTGCGAATATTAAGTACCGTTTCATGCATTTCTATCCAGGCCAGTTTCAGGAGATCGTAAAATACGCTCTTTCCCGTGCGATTAAGGAGAAAGTTAATCTGACTCCTTATCGCTGATATTTCCACTAAACATTTACTGTTTTCCCTGGAAATTCTAAAATTCGGTAGATCGCACTTGTGAGATTTGAAAGAAAAATTCTTAAAACAGTTGCATGTCATCCTTAGCTCTGTAGTGTTCCTTAATCGTTTCACCGCGATATTGGATACGTCAGATTGAAAGAAAATTTTTTTTTAACAATTTCGAACCTTGTCGTGATTGTTTGATTCACAGTCGAAAGGAACATGATCAGCCCGATCGGTAGGGAAGTGGATCGTGGCGGGGGTACGGCTGCAAGGCAGAATCAACGTGCATGGGAGTGCAACGAGTTGCTGCATAAAAGGGTGAGTGAAAGACAGTGTTTAGCGCAACAGAAACCTTCGAGTTGATTGGCATGGCGAAGCATGGAAAGAGAAAGGAATCTAACGTGAACCGACTCGGCTTCAGCTGATTAGCCGCTTTTTTCTCACACTGTCCCCACCGTTTCCCTCACCTGTCTATTTCTTTACCGTCCATCTACAGTCGCTCAAAAAAGTCTTTCGTACACCCCATCGAAATTAATTCAATTAAAATTAACAATAACTTCGCGTAGCCATGATACATTTAGCTAATAGTCTTTGGATTTTAAGGAACTCCGATAAAATATTTTAAATTCCTAAAAATTAATGATTATCGACAGATTAAGTAGGATGTACGAAAATTCTTGCAAGCGACTGTATGTACGTACACGTAAACGTACACGGTATTAGTGTCACTCGACAAGCAGAAGCAAGCAAGCTAGCACGTTCACACATACGGTACGTTCTTTTTTTCTCGCGAGTGTGCTGTAGTTCGCATTATCGTCCTAGCATGTAAATTCCATTAGTCCAATTAATTGAAACGTTGCCTCGGGCGAACTGACAAGCTCGCGCCCAACGGCACCCATCGCTCTAACGAGATTAATTGCGAGCGAAGCGCAGCGTTCCGTTCGAGATGATCGGCGCTCAACAAATTCATTCGTCACCGTTTCCCATTCCACGTTAGACGAATTCTTTATTTTAGTGCTAGTTCGAGCGATGTTCGGTCACGTTGCTGTAAAATTGGTAGCTGCTTTCGGAGAGTCTAGATTAGAAGTGTGTTTAGATTAAACAAATAAAACTCGAACAGCTTAATTTTTTCTAAATCGTTTTAGATTTAGCGAAATAAAGCGTAAGGTCCTGAAGGAAAAAGGATTCTCGCGATGAGAATGGTCCGCAGGGAAATATATCCATTATGGAAAATGACAATTACCTTCGCTCGCCCGAAGGAATCTCTGAAAGCCATTCAAATTCACGAATACACGTTCGTGTTTCCCTTTGCTCAGCTATTGGTTCGATGCTTTCGAGTCGACGTCCAACCGCGAGGCAGAACGGAGCGGAGCGGACGGACGATTCAACCGCCTCCGTTTGAAGCTGAGTTTCCAGGCATTTTCATTAGCGGCAGGCACGGACCTGCTTGTCGCGGAAATTCATTAGCATAAACGAGAGAGAGATAGATAGACAGCGGGAGAGAGGTAACACGCGTCTTTTATTGCATACGTGTGTGTAGATAGACCGCGAGCGAGTTGGAAATTTCATCAGTTCCAATTAATACTGTTCCATGCTAGCGGCGAGCTTCTCTCCGCGTAATTGCGTTTCAAGACTTGTGTTTCTCCTCTGTTACAATTTTCCTACAACCGACAATACTATACCGTTTGATTTTCATTACGAACCGGTACCACATGAAAAACTGATCTTTCGTGAATTCGAGAAACCACCTTTCGCTTTATCAGAGCGTAATTTTCAATTACTATACCTCGCCCGAATCTACGACAGGATTCTAGTCGCCGTAACTCTGATTCGTTGAGAATCTAGCTCTTTGAAATCCTACGTCAATGACAATAAAGTAGGAGGGAAGATCAAATACTATCTACGAGTCCGCCCGGACCGAGGTACCAGCGCTATTCCAACAGTTAAGCTCACCAATGGTACGCGAATCGGTTCCGTATCGATCCCAAAGGAAGAAAGGATCACAATTACCTTGAAACATCGTAATCGAACGTATCTGCGGAGCCAAAGTCTCCCTGAAGAATTCTGTAATAGTGTTTTTGCGTTCACCGAGTCCTTTCTAGTCGTTCCTTTATCTCCAACGAGAAAGTAACGACACAAGTGTCGTCCTCCTGCTGCCGTTACCTACACCATGCCCAGGCAATGGTCGAAGAGGAGTACCATGAAACTCGGAAGAAGAGAAGAGAAGAGATAGAGGGAAGGCAAGAAGAGAGCAAGAGAGGGACGAGAAGGAAAGAGGATTAAGAAAACCGAGGGCCAGGGTCGATCCTGCATACGGTCAGCGATGGTCAGCAATGGTCAGCAAGGGCACCGTGCCAGCCAACTGCAGACGGACGTTAAGCTTCCTCCACAATGGAATCTCGTCTTGAAAAGCGCCTCTAGACAAACTGTACTTCCCTTTGTTTAATACCGAAGGATACTCTCCCTGGTTTTAACCATTCCTTTTGTTGCTACCTTTCAAAGGTAGATCGAAGTCGTAGCACTCGGAGAAAGATTGAGTTTCGTGTTTTTGTTAAAAGAAAGCCGCGAAGCCGCTTAAACGAAATGCAACTTTCACTCGGACAAAACTAGTACGATCGTAACTGTTTATCGAAATAGTTTTTTTTTCTTTCTATCTGTATACGGATAAAAGGAAGCTTGAAATCTCGTGAAAAGTTTCCTCCCAAGTTTCCGGTTAAGGTACTCGTTACGCGAAATAAGATCGTTTTCGAAAGATACTCGAAAACGTAGGTAGCGGCGAGAGAGACGATTCTTCGAACCGTTAAAAGCTTCGAAGTCCTGAAAACCTTTAAAAGTCTCGAAACTCTCGGCAAAGTCTTAATCTTGATAGCGTTGAAGATGTGCCCTAGCGGAGAGAAGAAGCTTTTCGAGTTCGAGAAGAATCGAAAATCTCGGTTGCCTTGAAACGGTTTCCCCTGTGTTGTGTATCGATTCAGAAGAGTACTTTTAAAACGTTTGTAACATTTTTTTTCACGATATCAACCACGTAAATATTTCCATTAGTAGCGTAGGGAAGAATATCCATTTACTTAAGTTGATTATTGTAAATGTAAAGGGTTGTACACAAAGTGGTGGCTGAATGAAAGAGAAGGAACACCGAGAGGCGAGAGAGCGGTCGAAGCGAAGCCAGCCAGATCTGCAGGCATACAGAAAACATACAAAACGATAGGTCGACGAGCAAGGAACCACGGTGCATGCCGGGTACTGTAGGAGTCGGTGAACAAGCGAACCGATCAGACCGGGCATCACGCCAGTCTTACAAAGTCTTTCTTCCACTTTCGTTGCACGCTCGCTAGTAACATTTCTCGTCGTCTCTGTTTTCGGCATTCGATATGACTGTTTGTCGTATCTCCTTTCCTTCTTGCGGTTGATCGTCCTCGCCTGATCCTGATTCGAAGTACTTGGAGATCATGGAACTGGCAGCCAGGACCTTTTGAAAAGCAGGTAGGAAGATAGCTTGTTGGAACCGCTTTGCGTGGTTGCCTGATTTTGAAACATCGCTGCGTTCAGTTGTTTGTGGAATAACGATTGTTCCAGGTCTTTGTGCTGAGATTTTGCCTCCTCGGAGGGTTAGGAGTGTTGAATTTCTTATTTCTTCGATCCTTCCTCATTTTATTTCATACACAGGTTGATAAAAAGAGTCTCGATATTCGTCGAGGAAATAGGTTGTCTTGAATGCGTTTCTTTGCTTGATGAATTTTATAATACCATAGATTAGGCATTTGCGAATACCATACACTCGATATAAACATGCGTGATCATTTTTGTTAATGCATTTATTTTCCGAAACATAGATCGCTGCATTCGTACCCAGTTATTCATCAACGCCATTCTTTTACTCTTTTCATTATTCACCATGCCAATCGAACGAAAACGCTTAGCATAATAAGTTGATTCAGTCTGAAATTTATATGGTGAAATAATTCGGTGTTCAAATTTAATTAGAATATCATCGTAATGCACTGTTGACAAATACACGCGAACATAGTATTTCTTTGTACCATTACCGCTCGAAATTGAATTTTACAAATCATTTCGCTGCGCTTTCGGAGAATACAGTTTGTAATAGTTTATTCGGCTCACCCTGTAGACGTTGACCCAACTCGGGCCATTTTACCTCCGACGACTCAATACTTGACGTTTTCACAACCGCGTGTCTAACGGTGAGCAAACACTTTCGAGCGGTAAGGTAGACCGGGGTAAGGTTCACGCACCTCTTCACGCACAAATCATCGCCCGAATCGATCATCGGGGAGAAAAATTTCCTCGCTTCGCGACTTTCCCAACTGTTTTCAATCTCGCTAAGACGCGTTTCTCACGATGAAAACTAGAGCCGGTGAAATGCTGGTAGCACGTAGCGAGACACGGTAGCGTTTTTCGTAGGTTCGATCGATCACGCAGCACGTCGCCAGGAAGGAGAGGCGTGATTTTTAACGCGTTCACACCGAATTGTTCGCCAACGAATTTCACGGGATAATGGCGCGAGATGGGCAGAGCTACGGTGTATATATTTTTTTCTTCTTTCTTTTCACGAAACCGTGTGTTCGCTAACGAAAGATTGCATGCCTCGACAGAGCAACGTGACCGGGTGCAAGCTGGCGCAACCGGGAACCCACGGACTGGTTCGCGTATCCGCTGGCGAACTACTCGGCAGGACCCACGAGGAGCTGGTGCTCCTGCTGATCCAGCTGAGACGGCAAAACGCCACCATCTACAAAGCGATGGAGACCTGCCACATGGAGATCGAGGCACAGGTCCGGAGACATTTTTAGGCGAAACATAAAACCAACTGGGTGGATCATCTTTCCACTCTGCTCCAACCTCGATGGTGTCATACTTTTTCTATCCCTTTCACGATATATTATTTCAGAAAATAGTGGGAAATAGTGCTGTCCATGAAGCTTTTTTCACAAGCCTAATTGTTATAAATTAAACGATTAATTCTCCCTGATATTAACCTATGGAAAACGAAAGAAGCTTCGGCGTTTCAGTCAGATAGCTCCGATTGAAAATTGATCAGCATTAATTGGGTAGAATTGAATCATACGTGGAGTATTTTTAGACGTCGTCGAGTGAATGGTGTTTGAAGAATTCAGTGGTTTAATAGAGGAGAGATTTTATTAAGAGGACGTTTAAAAAATATCATAGTTCATCGGGAAGAACCGGTTTCAAGGACACGTCTCAAGTGAACGTCATTAGAATAGAAACCTTCCTCGAGAAGAGAATTCCGACAACGCTTTGTTCTCTTCTCTCTGTGTCGAACACCTCGCTTTTAGTGTGCCTTTAACGCTAGTAGTCGATATTTCAAGGGGTCAAAGGTGAAACGAATGAAATTCTACCCCTTTCCTCGCAATACGTATCGTACATATTCTTTTTTTCAACATTATTGTTTTCAACGAACAAATTGTATCTTCGAATAGTTCACGAAATTTGTACATATCAGGCATGGCTGTTTTCACTGTGACAGTGTTAAGAAAAAAGAAAATTTCCATATTTTTCGTTTAATTATCCGATTATCGATGTTCTATGGTTTGTTGTCTGTTCCACCTTTTCATGGTCACGTTTGCACCTGATTTGTGTTTTACTTTTCTAATTCTATTTCACCGACACTGCACTTTAATTATTCTTCTGTCACAGTTTCTGATCTCTTCCGATCAGACTTTATCAATCAACTTCAAAATGTAATATTCATGGATTACAGTCCGATTCTAGTTTGATGGATCTGAATGTACTTTCGCCAAGAGACAAAGTGTAATCGTTAGGTTGTAAAGACGAGCAATGTTGGGTAAAGAAATTTCTACGGTGTTGCGTTTAAAGTGGCGATCTTTTGTGACCCGCAGGCTAGATTGGCAGAGCTCGATACGCCGCGACGATTGGAGAATCTTCAGAAACTCGAGGAGCTGAAGAAACACCTGATGGATCTTGAAAAGCAGGTAACAGTCACTTTCCATTCTAGTCGATTCCGGTGAAAGCTCGCGTGCGCAGGTGATAGTCAAAGGCTAATAATCATTTTCAATTACTTGAATCCGAGGGAAGAGCCTATAAAGGCCATCGGTACTCCTCAGAATAGATATCTATTTCAGTTTAAAGTTTCAATTTTTCAGCATTTCATATTTCTTAATAAAGTTCCTACGTTACCTTTCGACGATAAATATCCCAAAGTTTCCGATAATTTGAAGAATCATCGTCGATTGAATTGCTGGAAAATCACGTTGATTTTCCACGAAACGGAGTCTTTGCTTCGGGTGAAAATTTTCCAAGGCGTAGACCGGGCTACTCTCTTAAGTTAAAAGATAAATTCGCAGCGACGGGATTCGCTTCGACATTCAGTTAGCCAAGATTTAATTATCCCGTCCAACTTGTCTGTTCGCGGAGCTTTTTCGAGGCTCGTGGCCCGTTTAATTGAGAAACTTCCAACTAACACCCGGAAATTCAAAGCGACTTGTGTATGCTTCCGCTAAGTACGAGAAGGGCAAGCCGCTGGTGAACCTCGTGGACAACATGGTGAAATTGGGTTCCCTCTACAATCGTAACACTGCCAATGGGACCAGCAGCGTCTCGGGTTCGCGACACGACCTGGCGCACGACAATTCCAGGGATCATCGTCTGGAATTCAATCAGAAGGTCCAGGAACAGCGTCTGTTGGCCGAGGAACGAAGGGACTGGGACCGATTGAGCCCTGACCATGGACAACTTCAGGTAGGATTTAAAAAAAAAACCTCGATCCCTTAATTAAACCCTCGAAACTGATGAAACTGACGCGTACGCTCGAGTATCCACACGTCGTGGAATATCTCAGGAACCTCCACGACCCTTGCTGAATTTTACGAAGGGATGACTTTAACGAGGGATGCAGCCACTCAACGTCAAGCTCCTACTCTTCCCTATCTACCCTTCATTCATGACCCCATTCTCCTTCCGGTAACATATAGCAAAGAGTAAATTTGCTGTTCTACAGGGAACATAACAGATGAAAAACACGGTTCGTTACAGAAAATATCGACGGAAACTAGCGATCTCGTTAAAAATATATTTTACGAATTATACATACCTCGGCTTTTTTTTTTTTCATGAATCTGCTTTAACAAATACCGTCTCCCTTTAATCGGGTGCACGGTAGAAAATTACATTACGAGAAAAAAGGTCGCAATAAATACGGATTACACACCGCGAGATCCTCCATAACGGTGCATAATGCTACGCGAAAATCGAGGAGGAAAGGGCTTTCCCAGCACGCCAGGGAAATTGCTAACCACGAACGTTTCAACGTAACATTGGATACAGTTAAATCTTTTGTCCGATGCAAAGAAAGACCCGTTGAAACAGTTGTCAATGGAACGGTATATAGGCTGTTTCAAGAAGATTACACATCTCTTTTGAGACCGACTGTATATTAAATAATAGAGTAACAATGAATTTTTTCGAGTAGGATCATTGTAGCGGAATCGTGAATCCGGTTGAAACGCGACTCCTCCGTTGGAAGGCAAGACTCGAAGGTTGATTCTGAACGTTACTTGTGTGTCGTAGGCCAAGGTGCAGCAGCTTTACAAACTGGATCGTCTGCTCCAGGAGGAATCCGGAACACTTCACAGTCTTCAGCAAGACAAGGCGAGTAGAACTGTTCCCTGGTTTGGAAGAAACCCGTGGTATCGTTGCCATTATCTTTCCTTAACAAAATTAATTTTTCTTAATTTGCAAACCACTGTCACCTGTTGCTGAGTTATGTTTCGAAAAATTATGTATAATAAATTATCGTGCAATCTTGCAAGCGATGCAATTTTTCCACCCAATTTGTTGAGCAATAATGCAAAGTTTACTTTAGCAAATTATACAAATAGATATAATGTCGCAATAAACACGGGCGATTGAACTGGAATTATTTTTATTTCGCGATGGCAACTGCACATTCAGGCAAATGGAATTGAAGATTTTTGTTATTTCGAACAGGAGATCCTGGAGAAGGCTCTGGGAGGTCTACGACACAAGCTGCAGGGCAGCAGGAGTAATCTGGCGGAAGCTGAGAGGTACAGGAAACAGCAGCTTCTATTGGAGAGGGAACTGAGCAGAGTGAGGGTGTTGCTCGCGCACAATTCCAAGGTAAAGAGGACTAAAACAAGTTCACTGACCTTTTCGATCGATCGAAACAGCCGATCATTGAACCCTTAATACTATAAGGGGAGACCTTTTAACCTGTCAGCCGGATCATTTCAAGAAGAAATCATTTTTCTTTTATATATAATAGAAGACATATGCAATTCTTTTTCATAATCAAATATTGCATCGTAAATTTTGCTTTTAAAACAAAATTTTTCAGCCAGCCGAACTATGTTTCACCTGAAAATTCCGATAATAGATGCACGTTGCTCGCGAACACCGCTAAAGTTCCCACGCACCACCAAACTTTAATCGGTTCAACGAATTTCCATTGAAACGGGGCGAAAAGTTTTCTTTCGTCAGGAATTGTTTCAATGTTCTGTTCTTAAGAGAGAGTTGAAAATTTCTCGTCGATTGTTCCAGCATCAACGATGCTGAAGAACGCCTTCGAATAATCAAGATTTTAAACGAAAAATAAAGTGTAGTAGCGTTGAGTAGAAGAGTAACAAGCATGCATAGACAGACACGCTTGAACGATTGATTAAATTGCGAATTCATTGTTTCCAGGTAAAGCCGGTTTTCTTCCAGGTAAATCAATCAACCACAACAGAAATAGATCAGTTTCCGTTCCGTTCGTTCTTCTGTTTCCCATTTTCTCGATTCTTAACAGTGTTTAAAACATCTCTAATGATACTCTGGTTATATTTGAATTGCAGAAACTGGAGGAAACGGTCGCTGAGAATGCTAGACTGGAACAGGACCTGGTGGTGCTGCGACAGAAGCTGCAAGCATCGAGAAGGTATGCTGGAAATATGACCAGGGACACTTCGGCTACCACTGGTCCTCTGGAAGTGGAATTAAGAAGGGTTCAGCAGCTGGTCGGTGATCTTCAGAGGCAACGAAAAGAATTGAGCGTTCAAGTAAGACAATTGACGGAAAAATCTCACAGTTTGGTGCAACAGATTCGGCCTCAGCCTCCTTCAGGTAAACTTCAAGAAGCAGCTTCTTATATTTCTCGCAAGGAGTACGATTCTTAATGTTCCTGTTATTATTGCAGCACCCCAGGTGCATCAGCCCAAGAAACGAACACAGAATTCCTGGTTGGAAACCGATCTTGATTCCGGGATAACGTTAGATCACGGTTTAGATTCGCCTTCGAGTCCCGCTTTGTCTTCTTCACCCCGTGGCAAACAGAACGGTGGCTCGTACCTGCACTTCAGTTCGTCGACGCAGATCAAAGATTCTTCGCCTACGAATCGTCAACAGAACCATCAAACGTTCCCTCAATCGCCGCAGAATCATATCTCTTCGTTGTCTCCTCAATTACGGGAACAGATTCAGCAGCATCAGTTGAAGCAACAACTGTTGAAGGATCAGATGCAAGGGAAGGGTAATTTGATGCAAGCGAACGTCGCGCCATTATACGTGAACACGGAGTCTAGAATGCATGGTAAGTAGAATTCTTGATGAATTTCAAATATTTTCCAAGCTAATTGCTAAGCCCATCAAGAAAGGATTAACTCTATTTTCTTCTTAAATTAATGATCATTCATTTCAGAGAATAACAAGCACGAAGAAAACCTAACTAATGGCACAGTTATCCCTCCGCCAGAGTATATTCCACCACCCCCGCCGCCACCCTTGAACGAGGAGACGTTGCTAAACGACAATTACAGGCAAAACGAGGACAACAAGTTTGCAGGTAAGTGAAGTAACACGAGTATTATTAACCCCCTTTTTACGTACCGAGTGTCTAGATACATATACAGAATATTCTTCGTTTAACACGTTCAGTTTCATTCTGAAAATCAACCCGTGAAGAACGGGTTATAAGCTTCTTCTGAATTATCAGTTATTGTCAATAACTCTACGTTTATTTGTCCTTAAGGCTTGATTCACAACCGCGAGAAGCAAGAAATAAAAACAGTGAGAATCGTGAAACGGGAATCGGAAAGACGACAACGGGATCGAGGAGACAGGACCGGGAACATTGGAATTCCATTAACGAACGGGCTCCAAGCGCCTGGGGGTGCGAAGAGATTGTGCGACGACGATCTGGGAGGCTCTCAAAAGTTCGAGGTAATCTCATCGAATTTTCCAAATCTCTGATCTTCTTCGTATCGTATAATTTTCCTTTCAAAAGTACATGCTCTCTAAAAACGTAATTTCCAAAGTGGCCTTTAAGGAAAAAAATATTAATCGTGTTTTGTGAATCGAATAGAAATTCCAATTCCAAAAATTCAATAAAAGCTTTCATCGAAATTTTAAGTAATAGCCTGATCGAGAGAGAGAAAGAGAAGGATTGCGTCTACTCTAAAAGCTTTCAGTTAAATCGATTTATCAGCCACGACGTTGCTTTTTCGATTTTATTTCATTCTATTCCTAATCGATTTATTTTTAGAAGGCTCAATTAGGAAAGGTTGTAGAAGAGTCACCAATGATTCACGCTCAAAGCACAGTCCAGTTGACGGACTTGGACGACGTGCAGTTCCAAAGAAGCATGTCCTTACCGAGGGGTTTCGGTGGACAGCGGCAACAGCAACCGGAAATACATCAAGTACCGGTCGTACCGCCTCCCAGGAGCGACAGTATGCACGCCTTGAGAAGCATGCTTGCTCGACGAAATAAAGTTAGGGTATGTTAGAAAAAGTACTCTCTAAACATTTAATTATACTATACAACACCGATGCGAGCTGTTCAATGTTAATGTTACATCAAAAGTAATTCAATATAGAATCATATAAGGTTCAATTTTCACATTCTGCAATTCCATCCGGCGTATCATCTTACAATTCATTATTATAAATCAGTTCTCGCATCGGTTGGAATCACTGCCGCAAACATCAACGCATCTACCAGTTCTAATTTTACGCGCATATATTTTTTCTCATTTTTTAATTTTCCATTGATTTCTATACCCTCCGTCTCACAACGTTTTATTTTCTCCGACATTTTACGAAAGTTCGAAAGTCAGGACGTCAGCTCGGACAGTACGCTGTCCCCGTATACGGACAGCCACACCTCGAGTTCCCACCTGCCTATGAGTTCGCCAAACTATTCGACCAGTCCGTCTTACAGTCCCAGCCAACAGCCTTACCCTGGCCAACCGATCAGATCGAACCAGCAGGCTGTGTATTACCAGCAATACAGACATTACGAGAATCCGATATCCAGTAGAGCAGAGAACACTGGAGACCCGGTGAGCCCGGAACTTTTGTCGCCGACTAGTCCCGACGTTCAGGACAGAGCTTTTGGCTCGACGTTGAACGTGAACGCCTCGAACTCGCCGCAATTGTCGCCGGTCTTCAAAAGCGAAGCCGCGAAACAGATAATCAAGGAGATGACGGAGAGAAAGGTGGAGGGACCTAGACGAAGGCAGATACCACGCGAGAAAAGACGACACTATACCGTGTCCAGTAGCAAACCCGTCCTCGACTTAGAAGACACCTTCTCCAAGATGGTATTCTTTTTTTTTTTTCTTTTGGTTTTCGTTTTGGTTTTCTTTTCTCCGTGATCATCCATTTTTCATGATTCGTTTTCATTGTGCTCACATCGTGTGCCACGCGAGTGCTCGACGATCATGATGATTACTGTTCGTGCTTTTCAGGGAATGGGTAGAGCAAGAGACGATTTAGATATGGAACGAGCGCTCAGGCCGAGGATTAATGCTCCTGACGTTGTGAGATCCACTTTGAGCCACAAGGAATTGAAGTACAACGAAAGTACTATCGATCAGTTACTTGGGACTCCGAATAAAATCGTCATTCCCGAGAGATACATCCCTGAACAGACTCCAGAATTGACTGCTGAAGAACAGCAACATCGGCTGAAGAAAGCGGAAGCGATCAGGAAGATGCTGTCGGAGACCACTGTCACTGCGACGGAAGGAAATGGTAATTTTGATCAAGAATCTTTTGGTTCAAGTTTCCTCTCTTTATTTAATTAATTAGCTGCTATTGGTTTAATGCAATCTATTTCAGACGACAATATTAATATAGAGAAATCTGACAACTTGAAGAGAAAAGTGGTGGAAGAGAAACGACAGAGAGATCACATTCTACAGTTAAATCAAATTCTAGCGAAACAAGTTATGGAAAAGAGCAAAATGGTAGCTGGTACGTTGAAATCTTCTTTCACGAATGGATATAGAATTTATCGGTTCGATTCATTTTGCACGAATCTAATTTATAGCGTATAGTGGTGTGATAGCATGACCAATGTTTAGAGTGGCTTCATACGCCCTTACAGACAACCTCTGCTTGTAAAATTTCCTAATTATATTTTTATTTACCTGGTACCTTATTACCTTGTCGGAACTAGGAGAATATCGTTTGTCAATTTGAAATAATCGTTTCCAAATTCTTTTAGTGTTGTCTTAGAATTTAGGACGTAGAGTTTGATCGTTCTCCAGTTCCAGCGTACAAAGTTAAATGAGCTCTCATTGGCATGCATTATCGTGATTATTTTTTTGATTTTAATTATACGATTAATTTCATCGATGAAGCTTCAGTCGACCGTAATATATACAGTGGCTCGCATATTTATTCGCACGAGATTATGTTCTTATTCGTGTAGAATAATTACAAAATTACGCGAAGAAATATGTGAGTAGTTGTTAATGTTTCATACGTAGTGAGTGTTGTTTGGATTGTTTGTGATGTGTATAGGTAACCAGGCTCACTGACTGACATGCTTTCTCCATCCTCCCATATAGGACACGCACACCATATTATCGTTTTTCAGGTTTGTTTATATTTTTCTTTAATTTTTTTTCCATTTTCCCTTCATACGTTTCTTCCTCGAGTAAGGTTCAGATGCAATTTTTCAATCAACATTTCATGTAAAATTAAAATTAATTTATTTGATTGAATAATCAACAGTGAAAGCCTTGGCTACCCTTCCTTTGAACACCGAATCGAGCTTAGACGACGAGGATCTCTCGCCAGTGACACCATTACCGCTCTATCAGCAAAGAGAAAATTATTATTCGTAAGAAGAATACGAAAAGAAAATAAAAAAATCCTCTTTAGCACAAAACACTACTGCCAGCCCGGAACAACAGAGGAACAAAACATCTTTTTGAAACTTTACAGGTGATTCGCCTGATACCTGCGATCACGGTAACATTAACGATAAGGAAACTGTTTTTTCTTTTCTTCACTTTCTTTGTTTCTTTTTATTTGCATTAATATTGTACATAATCATTCGTTAAGTAAACTGATAATAAATAGCTGTCCTCTGAGTCGTCGATAACGAATAGTTAATAATAATGGATGTCGAACAGAATTAGATGAACGATATTTATAAAAGAAGATAGTAAATATCGAGACGATTAATGGAAATAAAGAAACTTTTAATTTTGTTTATTACATGTTTATTTTCTTTTATCGTTCTTGATACATATATGTTTCTTTTTTCGAACAGAATGCTTCCACCAGTTTCTATCATTAGCAATAATAAATAAATTAAGATGCAGCGATCGCACAGTGCGGTTTCATTTAGCGACGGACTGTAATCGAATTCCTGTAACTTAGGGAAAATCAGGTATAATAATAAAACAATCAGAAATACGGTTCTCTGCTTATTGAATTCGGCCAAGTTTGCACTTGAACGTTTCTTATAAATTAAGATCATCGTCTGGTTTCTTATTCTATTCGTTTAATTCATTTCACAAAAGTCACTTGGCCGAATTCAATATGATCTGTTTGTTACTCGGAATCGTGTTTCGCAAACTCGTTTTTTTAAACAAAAATCTTTGTTAAATTTGTATTTGGTAATATGAATTAGTATATAAGATACTTTGTTGCACTATATACGTATACAAGTTATCTCAGAAACATCCTGTCCCATGAAATTCAGATACTTCGTGTCAAAATAAATCGAAAAGTCCTTTACCATTTTCTAATCTGTTGTTTCGTTGCTGAGATATTAGCGAAGAAAGATTGGTTCGCTCGACTTCCGGGGTGCGCCGGAAGTTGCCCAGCCAATCTTCAATTGTCTGTATCTCCGAAACTAAGCCACGGATTAAAAAACGGTAAAGGACTTTTTGATTTGCCTTGACACGAAGAATCTGTAGTTTTCATTTGAAGCGACTTTCGCAACGAGTTTGAGACTCGACGATCGAAAACCTAAATAAAGAATAAAGGAGAACGTTAGGAATAAGTTAAAAAAATAAAGAATAAATATGATAATTATTTAAGGTTGCGTTTATGGTAGGTGCTACGAACGCGACATAGTCAAAGACTAATTGTAAGATAATTTACTGTAAATTGTGATCATTATCGTTGAACTGACTGAGACGAGAACAATCTTTGCAAAGTGAAACAGTGACTAATGATACTCGAATTTTCATTGAACAAACTTGGAAAACATCCTTGCGTAATCGATGTAAACGATAATCATTGTTGATGTAATTACATGTATAAGAATTTTTCACATTTTAATACGAATTATTACAGATTTTCTATATGTTAATTCTATTTAACAAAGGATTAAAATAAAAAAAATCAGTTCCGATATCATTGGTCATTGTTCGCGGTCACAAATTTTGTTCCAATTCAACGCAGTCAAACGTATGGATGTGTATGGCATATTTACCTAAACAATGGCCATCCTAATCGACACTTTTCTTACGAACATGTTCATAACAGATGCATGCATTTGATCGACGTTGAATCACGTAGTCTAAGAAACTCGTAACACGTATATATATATGTACACGCTCTAGGTACGTCCTGTAATAGCATATTGCATCGACATCATCGATGTTTGTTTTACGACACTCAACGTTTATAACATCGATTTGCCATCGTATGTATCAACTCGAGGGTGAAAAATCGACCTTAGAAGCGCGTTTAGATAAGTTCCACGGTTATTTGTAAGGGTGAAACGAACGTCTGTCGTCTCCATTCAATGGAGATCGGTAACTGGACGTATTCTTAATTCTTTGAAGCGATTTTCGTAATTGAAAAATAAAAGAAACATCGTTTCAACGAATTAAGAAGCCTCGCAACGTTCAAGAAGAGAGCGGAATTGAATGTTTCTAAAAGGAAATTCATCTGACATTTGTTTTTTCTTTGGTAGTCTATTCGAAGTACGAAGAGTGCCAAATTACGCCCAACAGATCGTTCGCAGATCGCGACACGACTGTTCGTCAATTAAAAATCAACCGATTACCGGCGAGACTAATTCACAGCACAAAAACAATTTAATTAAGGATTTCCCACGTTGTTCACCACGAGAAAGGTATCTCGCTAATCACGACAATTAATTGTAGACCACGTGTTTCTATTGTCGACGAGGGACGTCGACGTTAGGAATAATTTTTGTACGATACAGTGGCACCAAGTGAAATCTCTGAAGGAACTTTGATCGTTTCTCGCGTGGAAGAGAAACGAAATGATTTTGTTTCTATTGAAAAAGCATTTCTCTCGCGAGAAGTGGTCCCTTCGAGGCCCTCGATCTCTTCTTTTGAGCATGTATCGCGATCGATCGCGAAATTGAGTGACAGTGTTTGAAACGGCGACGACATTTCATTGTTTCGTCGTGGAAAAATTACTCTTTCGAATTCTCCAGAGGGTCCATGGTGCCTGAGAAATCAGCGAACAGTTGCTTTCTAGGGTCCCCATTGACACCAAACGGATCGTTGGAGCGATTACCCTGAAAACGGTATTGTAAAAGAGACTACTGTGGAAACAGGAGCTGTTATTGTTACACGAATAAAATAAAATCCATATTACGTGAGCCACGATCTTTCTTCAGCCCGATGCATCCCATCTACTAAGCCAGAGGTGAATTTTACAATTTAAATTACTTCAATTTCAGATATGTCGACCTTGCATTTTAATGCGAATTTTAGAGAAATATATGAATTTAATTATGAATAAATAAATGGGTGAACTTGTAAATCAGGTTTTATTGTTAGAGAAAAAAAGTTGCTTAAAATGATGAATTTTACAAGATGTGTAAAATCATCAAAGTCGGAGGGGGAGTAATCTACATTTTTAATTTCTCCTACAAGGATAATTATTACAAAGTAATAATTTTTAAGACACTTACTGTGTGAGTTCGTTAGACTCACCTTGATTGTATAAGGGTTCAAATTAAGCGACGGCCTACACACCATCGGTGCCAATAGATTTCCCTGAACAAGGTACTCCACTTTGTTAAAAATAAATTATTCAAGTAAACAATCGTCACAGAATCTAATATAGATTAATGGAACAGTTAGAGACAACGAATCAAAGATGACTTTGATTATCGAGAAAGATAAGCAATGACTGATTTGATTGCCCCCCTGGTTGTTGACGAGAAGGCAGAAGGTCGACGAACCAACCAATCGTACCAGTCCCCTTGCACTTGAATTCTAATGAGGCCCACCTGGGTATATATGAGAGCTTAACCTCGACCGTAGCCATGATTTTTCTGTGGTACCTGCTCGTTGCACGGTGAGTCTTCTTCCTCTCTTTAATTTTTTCTTCGACTTCTAATTGTTATTTTACTAAGACTATTTACCGCTTAAGTATTATTTATCCACTTAATCGTTATCTCATCGTTAACTAAAATTCTCATAAATCAACGCTATTAATTGCACTTGTAATACGAAATCTCGTCAAACGCAATAAATCAATTCCCGTAATGATAAAAGTACGATAATCGTCATCGTGATTCACGATGACAAGCGTTAAAATAAAAGTATCTTTTTTTTGTTAATGAAATATGTTTATTAATCTTCCATGATTTAATTGCTTTATATTTACATAACAAAAGGAAGAAGTTGTAAAAGTTGATATTATTAACGGTGACCATCCATGCCAGATCTGGTTCTATTCAAAATTCCTGTCGCGATTCAAAAACAACTATTATAAACTCATAATTTCAATGACAGTAGTAGCATTCGCTAAGAGGTCATTGGAATAAAATCATTTCCTTAGTATTTACGCAAAATCGTTGGAATTTCGTGTGTGACACATCGCGTGGGCGAGGGTCCACTCTCTTCGTTTTTCCTTTTTCCTTTTGTCCTTTTATCCTTTTATTGTTCTTTTTCTTTCAACTTCAGCTCGAAGGTCAGCAGAGAATAGGTGGATTTAATGTCTCATTTTCATAAAAGTAACATAACTCTACCACTCGTCGTCATAGTCAACGAAAAGATAATTTATAATTTTTTTTATTTATTCTACGTTTGGAAACATTCATCGTCATTGTTTAATCAGCTGAAATTTTCAACTGTAGACTCAAACGATTGATCTAATATCGTTCGAAATGTCGGTCACGTTAGATTAAACGGAAGGCCACGAGCTAATCAAATCCTTGAGGTACAACAAGGTGCAACGGAAAATATTTGCGTAAAAAGTCACGTTTATATCTGCGTTCTTGTCAATCAGGAAGAACCTCGATAGATGTACACGACTAACGTTAGATACATATTAAAAGCAATCTATTATTTTCTTAAATTCTATCGTGCTGATAGAATTTTCTTGAATGAAAGGATTAAACAGAATTTTGCAAAAACTAAAAAATGTTCCGTACGGGAAAAAGTTGCACGCTTTCAAGGAATGTTTTTCAAGAAGAACGTTGAATCACTTTTCTTCTTTCGGCAAGGATATTTAAAAATGTTTTATTTTATAGAGATGTAAGAATAGAAAGGGGAAAAGAACAGCGATGAAACGTTAAAAAGAGTAGGAATTATTACAATGATAAACGAGAGTTCCATTGAGAGTTGGACGTTTGTATTCGGAGTGCAGCTGGTCGAAGGATTGGATGCAGCCGGCATTTTAATACGCGAAAGCCGCAGACTCTTTATTTGCTCTCCCTTTTATCTTCGCGATGCGAAGACCATTATCTAACTCTTGTATTTCACACGAAACTCCACCGATTCCAAGGACGGTCTTTGATCTTCTTCCATCGTTCTTTGTCCACTCGGTGATCGTTTCTATATCCAATCGATTGTTATTCCGTGGACGATGCGCTCGAACAATGCGAAAGACAATGAACTGTAGACGATCGATCTTCTCGAGAAACAACTCGAACGGTTCTTCCTAGGAGCAAGTTGGAATTAACCCGTTAACACTTTATCGATATCATAAATTTGATAGAATTTTCTACTATTCTTTTTCTTTCCAAAATGAAAAGGAAAAATCTGAAATATTTTTCACTTTACACCTCGAGTGTTTTTCACGTTCAAAACGACAAAATAAATCATTGTCGAGGAGCAGCTGTTTGCAATTGTAATTGAACGTCAGTGAACGAACGAAAAATATTTTTCGAATCTTAAGAACTCCGATTGTTCTGAACGGTATATTCTACTTACAAGTTACGTTACAACCCGATCGTTACGAATTTTATCGTCCAGCTTGCTCGGTTCTGGACCGGAGTTTTTTACGATCGCATTTTCGTGGTTTAATCTCGTCGAGGGATAACTCTAATAAAAAAATGTATTCGAGTTTTATCGACTGGTCCTATTGCGTGTATCGCTTTGATTTTTAATTCTCCTGTTTGGAATTCTCCTGTCGAGAAGGTGCTTGAACCTTCGATAACTTCCTGAAAGGGAGAAACTGTTGCACGCGTATTCGATAAGAATAATATTTTGCAAAACATGAAGGGAGACAAGTTTCATCAATGAAACCCCTCGATCATTCGAGCGTCAAACGCTTTTTCTCGAAATCAAGTTCACGATCACCGTTACTACTATCTTTTCCTCTTCACGGAAAAAGAAAAAGAAGTCGAGATTGCCAGGAAGAAAAGTTTCACGAAAGTGTCACGCTATTTGCTTTAGTGGAAACCGGTCGCTGTAGATTGCAGCTGGTTTTGAAGAACGACGCTTCGATGAAGCGATCACTTTACTCACCACCGATCAACCGGCTAGATCATTCGTGTTTTTAAACACGCCCCGATACGCAACCTAGGCAGTCGTTCGCGATACGAGCATCGATCGAGACATCAAACTCCTAACACGAATTGCATTTCTATCAGACTTTTACCTTTTATCGGACTTTACTCCAATCTATAGACTCGACGTAAACTTGTGTCATCGAAAACCTGTCAGTGTGAATAATTCTTAATTGATCGAATTTAATTATTTCCAGTTTCTGAAATTGCATTAGCAATGAATCTTCTGTTACTTCCTCTGCTATTCGTAATCGCCGCAGGTAAACGCACCGTTCTATTCAGATAACGTATCTATACAACAGATAGTGCATTTCCAATGTTTAATATAAAATAATTTTTAATCGACAGCGGAACAACAAGGCAGGATAGTGTGTTATTTCAGCAACTGGGCCATTTATCGACCGGATGTAGGTAGATACGGGATAAATGATGTGCCAGGTGATCTGTGCACCCACATCATCTACTCGTTCATCGGCGTGAGCAATGTTACTTGGGAAGTATTGATTCTCGATCCTGAACTGGACGTTGATAAAGGAAACTTCCTGGCTTTCAACAACCTGAGGACTAAATATCCTCACTTGAAGACTTCCATCGCCGTCGGTGGTTGGGGAGAAGGCGGCAGGAAGTACAGTGCTCTGGTCAGCATGAAGGAAAGAAGAGACACTTTTATCAAGAGCGTTGTTGGTTCGTAATTGTAGAAAATCGTTGTTTTATCCAAGTACCAACAGGCTTGTTTATGTATATCGTTATTTGCTGCTAGAATTCATGTACAAATATGATTTCGACGGTTTCGATCTGGATTGGGAGTATCCAGCTGCTACAGACAGAGGCGGTAGGTTCTCCGACAAAGACAAATTCTTTTATTTCGTCGAAGAACTGAGACGCGCTTTCGACAAAGAGAAGAAAGGATGGGAGATCACGATGGCGGTGCCAATGGCAAAATTCCGTCTCGACGAGGGATACCACGTGCCGGAATTGTGCATGTAAGTGAAATATTTCTATTCTTATTTCTTACGCAAATTATTCTAATTTCATTTATATTTTTACAGAAACTTGGATGCCATCCACGTAATGGCTTACGATCTTCGTGGCAATTGGGCTGGCTTCGCGGATACGCACAGCCCTCTGTATCGTCGACCACACGACCAATGGGCGTATGAAAAATTGAACGTGGTATGAGTTTTTTATTTAAATTCAATTAAATCTTTAACATACAACCATACACTCGTAAATATTCATCAAGTTGTGCACTATATGTTCTTGCAGCACGATGGTCTTTTACTTTGGGAAGAAAAAGGTTGCCCCGCTAAGAAACTCGTCGTTGGTATTCCGTTGTACGGGCGTACGTTTACCCTCAGCCAAGGTAACCATAATTACGAGCCTGGAACTTACATCAATAAAGAAGCTGGCGGCGGTGAACCTGGAGAGTACACCCAGGCTAAAGGATTCCTTTCTTACTACGAGGTATGATCAATTAATATTAAACCCTCTGCAGTCATATTTTCCTTGGGTACATACATCCCCTGCTGGTTGGAATTAATTTTATCTTTTTTTCTCCTACTCTTCGTATTACAAGAAAGGAAAGAATAACACTTGGAAATATTGTTCGACAGATCTGTACGAGATTGCAAGCCCCTGGTAGCAACTGGACCCAGAAATTCGATAACATTGGCAAAGTTCCATACATGTACAAAGGTATATTTATAAATAAAAAATTAATCATTTCGCCCACGTGATTTTTCATCAATTAATAATTACAGAAACACAATGGGTCGGTTATGAAAATACAGAAAGTATTAAATATAAGATCGACTTCATCAAGGGATCGCGATACGCTGGTGCTATGGTTTGGGCGATCGATATGGACGACTTCCAAGGACTTTGCGGTGAACGTAATCCTTTAATGAATACCATTCATCAAGGATTGAAGGGATACGTTGTACAGGAGAAAAATTTTCCTACCACCCCTACGGTACGAATATTAGGACCACCTAATATTAACCCTTGCTGAGGTCTTTGTATTTTTAACTTTAAAATTACTAGTTATCTTTATGTGCAGCCTGATTGGGCAAAGCCACCAAGCACTACTTCAGCAAACGACGTTCAAACTACCCAGTCATCTTCAACATATAAACCTACAGAGAAACCTACTCAGAAACCGGAAGTAAGTTCCACCACTGAGGATTCAAACAAGTCAGAATCTACACAACAACCAGTAGACGACAATGAAGCAGAGAAGACTGTATGTCAAAGCACGAATAAATTTGTTCCTTCTAAAGACTGCCATTCTGTGAGTATTCAAATTATAACAATTACAATAAATAATCGAATCAACATTCTTTTTTTCAATTCTACAGTATTTCGAATGTGTTCATGGGTTGCCAATGAAGTTCACCTGTCCCAATAAATTGATTTGGAACACGATTAACAATGTTTGCGATTGGCCACAAAATGCAGATCGAGAAGAGTGTAAATCTTAATGATTGTCATGAATTGTTAACTTTAGTCTAAAATTTCAATCAGTGACGGAAGATACAAAAAGACTGGATATGCCTTTGTCCTCGAGGAACCATGATTTTGGGACTCTCAGACATCCCCTTCTGAGGTAACATCTACACGTACAGAACACAGTCAATATGACAGTCGTGTCTCTTTTACCAGTTCCTCAAGCTCGAATAATTATTTAAATACTTATTTGATAATCTTGTATTGATTTCATGCGTATTGGTAAATAAACAATTTTAAAAAACACTTTCCAGAATTTCCTTCCTGAGTTAATTATTTAACGAGACCTAAGAACTATCAAAATAAACGTTTGACAAACTTGTATTTTAAAAAGATCGCCATAAATTTAGTATTTTTAAAATTCGATCTTAGCGCCATCTATACAGAAACGGTGGAAACTACACGATAACTTACCGACTTGGGACCTCGGGGGTCCCAGACACCCCAGGGTAACATCACGGGGTCCCTGACACCCCAAGGTGATGTCATACCGGTATGCAGAGATAGTCGCTGGTACTGCGGGGTCCCTGGTACCCCGGATGCTATATTATTGGTATGCAAAGATAGTCACCGGCATTTCGGGGTCCTTAATACCCCAATATGATATTAGGTCGGTACGCAGAGGGGTTCCTAAGACCCCTTGATAATAACAGGTTCGTATCAAGAGAGCACAACCAGTAATTTGCTGTAGTTAGTATGCTAATACATAATAAAATATGATTATTTTTTATTTTTCTTAGTGTATTTCGTTTCTAAATCGTTTGTGATTGATTGTGAGTCTATTTTTAACGTTTGTGACAAATTAGTTCTTTTGTAATTAGCAATTTTATTTCAATCATGACGTAAGCCGAAACTTTTTTGTAATTTTTTATAATAAACAGATTTTGTGATTTTCAAATATATCATTTTCATTGTTTGTGAGTGAATAGTTTCTTAATTATTTACCAGTTTGTTTTATAATAAATAATTGTAGTGTGCATGCGCTACAGATCCGGTCGTACCCATCACTACCTCGAACAAGTTAGTTTCACGACTTGTTCGTTTTCCGTTCTTATATTTCGCTAGATCCGCTCAAACCTATCACTAATCCGAACAAGTGAGTTTCACGATTTGTTCGTTTTCCGTTCTTATATTTCGCTAGATCCGCTCAAACCCATCACTATTCCGAACAAGTGAGTCTCACGACTTGTTCGTTTTCCGTTCTTATATTTCGCTAGTTGCTTCGGGGTCCCTGAAACCCCGGTGCCATAATATCCATATGCAGCGTCACCGGTACCTCGGGGTTTCAGGGACCCCAAAGCCGTAGTGTCGGTAAGCAGAGTATTACTGGTGTTTTGGGGTTCCTGACACCCCAAGATGATATTATGTCGGTATGCGGAGATAGTCTTCGGGGTCCCTGGCACCCCGGATGCCAAAATGTTGGTATGCAAACAGTGTCACCGGTGTTTTGGGGTTCCTGACACCCCAAGAAGATATGTCGGTATGCAGAGATAATCACTCGTGCTTCGGGGTCCCTGGCACCCCGGATGCTATATTATTGGTAAGCAAAGATACTCACCGACATTTAGGGGTCCTTAATACCACAATATGATATCAGGTCGGTACAACGTGGAGGCGTCAGTGGCGCAGCGGGATCCCTAACACTCCTGGATAATATCAGGTCCGTATGAAGAGGGCACAACCAGTATAATTTTTTTCCAGAGTTCATTTAATTTACTTCATTTATTTGTTTTTGCTTATTAAATAAGCTCATCGAAGGGGAATAACATTTATGATTATATCCCTCTTCTGGGTCTCAGCTGGGGAACCCATTTATTTTACTTTTTCCAGTTATCTATACAATTTTATCCCTTATTATAGGCCAAGACTAACTCAGTATCCCTTACATCCCTGCATTCCTTACATTCCTGCAAGCCATAAATACCCTTTTTTTTTTTTTTTTTTTTTTTTTAACGTGGTGGAAATCTTCAGAAAGACACCTTCAGCCCCCCTGGGGAGGGACCGGAGGTAGTGTGGGATTTTTACCCACTAAAACCACCACGGTGGCCTGCACTAGAGCGGTAGGGATTGTGTTTTGACGCTCCGCCATGTGCCAAACTCCATCGACAGCGGGGACCACACCCGCTGCCGACACTCCTCGGGCCGCGTGCAGTGGAGACCGGGGCCCCAGCCCCGGACCCCTACGGAATTCCTTTACATCCCTCATTCCGTTACATCTATGCATCCCTTACATCCCTGCATTCTTTTCATCCCTACATTCTTTTCATCCCTTAAATCCCTACATTCTTTTCATCCCTTAAATCCCTACATTCCTATCATCCTTTAAATTCCTACATTATTATCATCCCTACATTCTTTTCATCCCTAAATTCCATTCATCCCTACATTCTTTTCATCCCTAAATTCCTTTCATCCCTACATTCTTTTCATCCCTACATTCCTTTCATCCCTACATTCCTTTCATCCCTACATTCTTTTCATCCCTACATTCCTTACATCTCTGCAACCCCTTATAATCAATATATTACAAAGACTGCTTCGAGTAAAGGTAAGTAAAGGTAAGTTAGTTCCTAGTTTTGAGATTTTCGCGAAAATTTTTAAAAACAGCGCCCCCTAGCGGCAAAAATGTGAACTAAATTTTCGATGTCGAGTCAGCGCCATCTGGTTTCAGAAAAAGGAACTAAAGCTTGCTGAAATTTTGGCCCTCTAGCGGCAAAAATGGGAACTAAATTTTCGATGTCGAATCAGCGCCATCTGGTTTCAGAAAAAGGAACTAAAGCTTGCCGAAATTTTGGCCCTCTAGCGGCGAAAATGTGAACTAAATTTTCGATGTTGAATCAGCGCCATCTGGTTTCAGAAAAAGGAACTAAAGCTTGCCGAAATTTTGGCCCTCTAGCGGCAAAAATGTGAACTAAATTTTCGATGTCGAATCAGCGCCATCTGGTTTCAGAAAAAGGAACTAAAGCTCGCCGGAATTTTGGCCCTCTAGCGGGAAAAATGTGAACTAAAATGTCAACGTCGAACCAGCGTCCCCTGGTGGCAAAAAATGGAACTAAATTTTGCAAAAATTTAAATTTGAAATTATTTTTCATGAGACTTTACTTACCTTTACTTACCTTTACTTACCTTTACTTGAACCAGTAGCCATAAGTATATTATTTATAATATATTTATTATAAGGGTTGAAAGGGTACAAGAGATGCAGGGGGAATTCAGGTGTATACGGGATACAGAGATGTAAGGGATAGAGAGATATAAAGGGTACAGAGATGTAAGGGATAGAGAGATATAAAGGGTACAGAGATGTAAGGGATACAGAGATATAAAGGGTACAGAGATGTAAGGGATACAGAGATATAAAGGGTACAGAGATGTAAGGGATACAGAGATATAAAGGGTACAGAGATGTAAGGGATAGAGAGATATAAAGGGTACAGAGATGTAAGGGATGCCGAGGTATAAGGAATGCTGGCATATACGAGATGCAGGAATATAGGGAATATAGTGATATAAGGGATACAGGGATGTTAAGGATGCAGACTTGTAAGGGATGCGGTGATAAAGGGTTGAGGCCCGTAAAGACAAAAAAATAATAAATAACTGAGAAGGTTGAGCCGAGGCCCATGAAAAGAGATAAAATAATAAATGACTTGGGAGGGTAGTTCACGCGAGGCCTGAAAATACTTTTCTGAATTTAAACTATTGTTTCCCAATTAAAAAATATGTAAATCTTTTTATTGTAGCTCTTAGCTTGATATCGCTTTCTAAAAGTTATCTTTAGAAAATTATTTAATTATTATTTTTAATTTTACAATTGTTTATTAATCAAATTATTGTTATATCTATTTAAATTATTTATTTCTTTAATTTGTTGTATGTTACATACATATCGTTCTTCGTACTGATTCGTTTTGTAATATCGTACGATTACATAAGCGACCACGTGGATGATGTATGTTGTACATACCATTGTATATAATACACTGACAATCATGAAATTTAAATTAACACGCACAATACATAAAAATATATAAAATGTTTTATTGAAAATGTATCTTTTAATATAATATAATAAAAAATAACTTATAATATAATTATATGAAAATGTAAAGTGGGGGCATTCGTTTTTAACAAGCCGAATTTTTTAACTAGCTGAATCTCATTGCGGAGGTCGCAAGTAACATCTTTAGAGATATCAGTGTATAATGTATGTATGCACGTGTGAACAACTTTGTCGTTTAATTGCTTCATGTTAAACATGGCGCAAACGATGATACCTAGGATTGCGCTGTTGTCTATTAAAAATAGTAATCGTGTGCTACCACGAATTTGTGTTCCCTTGAAATACCAACGAACATGTTTCCATACAAGCTGGGTCCTCGATGGTATGCAATTTATTCATAAATATCTGTGATAGTTAGGTATATCGGTGGTCGAGATCGAGGTTAACATACTATTATTTATTTCAAATGAATCTTTAGCGAATGACATTAATTTTAATGTAAATCATAATATACAAAATGTTTAGAATGTTTATTTCTCTCCTTTTGAATTAAATTGAATTTATGACCATGCATTCTTACTGTTAATTGGGTTGATTATGCAACCAAGTTCTAGCATATAATAATTTATAATATAAGTATTTTGTACTTATTTTTAGTAAAAGGAAAGGAACTATTGATGCCCTCCTTATCACCTACCATGGAAACTGGTACTATTATCAAATGGCTTAAAAAGGAAGGTGATAAGATTGAACCAGGAGATGCTGTTGCTGATATTCAAACTGATAAAGCAGTTGTTACAATGGAAGTGGATGATGAAAGTGTTCTTGCAAAAATACTTGTAAGATAAAGTATATGAACTACATCGATATTTCCATTATAACATATATACTTTTGTAAATTCTAATAGGACATTTTATTAGATACCAGAAGGAACCAAGGATGTTAAAATAGGAACATTGATAGCTCTTACTGTAGAACCAGATGAAGATTGGAAATCTGTTGAAATGCCAGACAGTGCTTCAGCTGCAACTGTAACCCCACCTGCACCTCCTGCAGGAGCTAGTACACCTGCTGCAACTGTAACAGCTGAACCACCTCCAGGACAGTATGTTCTTTCAAGAAGTCTATATTCATCAAAAATGATAATCAAGATATAAAAATCTAAACATAATTATTTTTAGGAATAATGTTGCCATGCCAGCTTTATCGCCAACAATGACTACTGGAACAATAGTAAAATGGCTTAAAAAGGAAGGAGATTCTATAGAACCAGGAGATGCCCTGGCAGAAATACAAACAGACAAGGCTGTTATGACTTTCGAATTTGAGGATGAGGCTGTGCTTGCAAAACTTCTTGTACATAATTTTTATTGAATTCTAACTTATAACTTTTCTAACTTTTTGAGTATCTTAATATAAACTGTGATTACCTACTTAAGGATTCACTTAACAGGTTCCAGAAGGAAGTCAAATTGAAGTAGGACAATTAATTGCAATCACAGTTGAAAAAGGAATGGACTGGAAAAATGTTGTTGTTCCAAGTACCACGAAACCGTCTACAGCAGCAGCCGTACCTCCTCCAGCTGCAGGTGATAAGAAACCTGCATCAAGTGGACAGTATGTGATGAAAAATACTAATCTTGCAGTTTTATGCAAACAATACACACCTTGTTATTGTCATATTATTCTTCCAGAGTATATGGTTTAGCAGTAAAACGGTTGTTGGAGGAGTATGGACTAAATCCAGACTCCATTAAAGGAACTGGACGGCCTAATCGATTGCTAAAAAGCGATATATTAGCATATATCCAAGCAAATAATATTAAAAAGGTTGCTCCGAAAGTTGGTACGTGATTGAGATGTTACGAAAAATATTGGATATACTGTTTGTAGTATTGTACAAAATTAACTTTTTATTCATACATAGAGCCACCACCAGCCGTTGAAACAGGTAAAAAAGAACGCGCTGCTAGTCCTTCAAAGAAACACGTACCTACTGGTCGGCCTTCAGCCTATGAAGATATTCCCGTTTCCAATATACGCGGCGTAATTGCTAAAAGACTTGGAGAAGCAAAAGTAATCACACATTTTTCATGTGTTTACATGATAAAAATTATTGCGTACATATAGTAAATGTTCACTAAATTTTTCAGAGTACCATCCCTCATTCTTATGCCTATATCGATATTAAAATGGACAAATTAATGGAAATTCGTAGCGAACTTAAAGCTGATGGTATTAATGTATCAGTAAATGATTTCATAACGAAAGCGGCCGCATTGGCATTAGTTGAATGTCCATTTATTAATACACTGTATAAAAATAATCAGGTTGGTATACAAGTTTATATAATTGCTGAAAATTAGTAGATAAATAATATATGGTAATTTTATAAATTGCATTCTTCCAACAGATAACTCAAATGCCAAGAGTCGATATATCTGTTGCAGTTTCTACAGATAATGGTCTTATAACACCAATTGTTTTCGATACCGCAGCGAAAAGCTTAGTAGATATTTCGAAAAATATTAAAGAACTAGCTGAAAAAGCTAGAAACGGTCGATTGAAACCAGAAGAATTTCAAGGGGGTACATTTACGTGAGTATAAATAATATTTATGTTACATGACATGTAATTATTTAAACTTGTAAATTATATTATATACATTGTTTGCGATCAGGATATCCAATTTAGGAATGTTTGGTATTAAACAATTCAGTGCCATTATAAATCCTCCTCAGACAGCGATACTTGCTGTCGGCAGTGGTCGGAAAGAATTAGGTAAAAGATTAGAAGTACATAATTATTGCGAAGCTATAGAAAATGTTAATATATTGCTTTATTATAGATGCTACATTACAAAAAATAACAAAGATGTCAGCAACTTTATCGTACGACAGACGAGCAATTGATGAAGATCAAGCTGCTGACTTTTTAGCGGTTTTAAGAGCTATGTTAGAAGATCCAACTTTCTTTGTTGCTGGAAGGTTGCGGGCACTGAGGTATTCGCAAAACTGACCTTTAATTAAATCTTAATTTTGATATGTTTATTGATAAAGCGGCTTAAATTGTAATACGTTACATAATTGTTCATACGATTTAGATTCGACAAAATATATTTGGAAAACATAAGTTAAACAGAATTAATATTTTTAAGTCGTTTGTTAAATAAACATATCGATCGAAATTAAGAACATCGTTCGTAGCCTCTTACTTTCACTAACTTCTGTAAAATTATTATGCTTTAAATATTACATGTACAAAATTCACACTACACAGCCTAACAAATGTATCTAAAATATTTTATAACCTTGTAGCAATAGCTATTTTAATCAAAGAAAGATTACGAGTGTAGCTGCCTAGATACTGCCATAAAATGAATTCGTAATAGAACGTGACAAAATAGAAATCTTTATTCTTAAAGATATACTATGCATATACTAAAGACTTTGTTCCGATACATATATGCATAGGGCATATAACAGCCATTGAATAATACAAATGTATGATATAAATTAATTTCCTTGTAAAAAAATAGATAATTAGCAGAAGTACATGTCCTATTTGTACATTTATTTATTTTAATGAAATAATTGCCACACTGTAGTCTCTCTGTCATGCAGAAATATATGTAAATACACAATATGTATAATACCAACAAGTATATATAAATTCAACGCTTTTTTTTTTATAGAAACAGTACAAAAACTTCATTATTTTTCTTAGATTAATATACCAAATTTGTATAAATATAATGTAAATAATTATTGTTAATATTTATTTATTAAAAAATGTTATGCGTGATAAGCAACTTCAGTGTGGTTTAGATCAATTTAAAGGGGTGACAAAATGTACAAGATCATACATATATCTTGTAAATAAAATATTTATTATTAAAATGATGTGTGATGTTTTCATTTACATATATATTTCAAAATGACATATAAGAAATGTTTGTAACATTTTTTCACAATCATTGTTCATTAGAAGACCGTTATTACATTTATTATTTTTCCATTTTGTTACAAATGATAAGATTGTAACCATAGGATCATATGTACTGATTTGATAAGGCACACGTGTTATGACTGTGTAAGTCTAATCCATTTTAAATTAAACCTTTCTAAATGAATCTTCAACCTTTGAATTATGACAATATCAAATATAGAAATATAATACAATAGAACTTAATTTTTTTTATCACAGATGTGATTTTACATTATGTTAGTACTGAACCTTTTAACTAAATACTTGTAGATAATAATTTTAGGTCTTTTTCATAAAATGTGCTGTAAATACAAAATTATATACATAATTCATTGTATAATACTTGTTAAAATTTGGTGGTTTGTTTGAGCAGTATTATATTCTAAAATACAAGTATAAAATTTTTCAACAAGTTTTTTTTTATAAAATTCAATAAAATCTCGTATAGCTAATAATAATTCTTTCAAAAAGCGTTAGAAAAAATGAAATTTATAATGTGCGGTATGTTACATCGTTTACAATACTTGATTATTAATACATATATTTATTACATTGAACAAAAATGTTCAATTTCTCACTATTATTTTTTCTTCCAAAGAAAGATTATGTAAGTTTTCTCAAAAAAGTAACCTTCTTTGTTTGAATTGAATAATGAAGATTAAAGAAGTATTAAATAATACATACTACAATACCTGTTTTATATGTAATCTGTTTGATTTCAAATGTATGGCATAATCATTTTTACTTAATAAACTACAAAAATTCTAAACAGTAAAGGAATGCAGTTTAAAAAATGTGAAAAGCAGATAAAGAAAATGAAATACACTGTATATACTTAAAATGTTAATTTGATAATATTATTAGTTTAAAATTTAATTTGTACTATAATTAAACTGTAATTATTATTTTCCACAGTGATGATTATCAAATGTAAAATAAGTTACTGTTAAACCCCTGATTGATAATATGTGCACATACCTTGCACTTTCAGTTCTTCTATAATCTAAGTACAATATTTTAATAAAAATGTTATACAACTCGTACTTTGTTATATGATAAATGCAAGCAATTTCAAAATAACATCTTAATGTAACACAGAACACCTAATGTATCTCTTTAGCACAATAATTATGACTTGCACTGTTTTTGCACCTATTACTGTAATAGTTTATTACTGTAATTACTACTGTAATGTAATAGATTGCACTTCTTTGAGTGAAAGAGATCAAAAATATATTTTTTAAAAAGTAGAATCTACGCAATAGATATTGCACATGAAACGCTGATTAATAATTTATGTTAATAATTTTGTTAATGACTTAAATTATAAAAACTAATTTAGCATATACATTGTATTATAATATTATTAGAATAGAGAAACATATTATTAGAATAGAGTCCTACAAATTATTACTATTATATCTTATTCTGCCCCTACTATAAATTTGGTAGCATATTGACATACATATAGTAGGTGGTCATATAAAATGTATAAAACCACAGCATTGCATATATATAATTTCTGCTGTTTATGCAGTATAAAAAATACTTTCATACCTCCGCATTATACGATTGGACTGGTGCAATCTTGCACACATACTCAAGAAGATAAATGCATATCAATACAAAATTTAATATTTGTCTTCTACTTAAAAGAATGAAATAAGAATACTTAATTAAATGCTTTATGAAGAATCCTTTGTGCTGCTCGTATCAAAGGTGTAAGAGTTGTTAGTTCTGCACAGTTTTCCAAGAATGGATGAGATAATAATTCATCAGCAGTTGCTCTTTCATCTACTTCAACTGCTAAACATCTTTCTAGGAAGTTCTGAAATGTTGGACTTAGCGTTTCCCATCTAGGAATGGAGGGCTTACCAACAGCAGCAATTAAATATAAGGCTCTTAAAGGTGTTTCTTTCATATAAGGTGGTTCACCTTCTATCATTTCAATAGCCATAATACCTAAAGACCAGATATCCACTTTCTTTCCATACTGTTTTCTTGTCACCACTTCAGGTGCCATCCAGTAGGGAGTTCCAACCATAGTCTGTCTTTTCTCATCACCATCAATATTTGCACAAAAACCAAAGTCTGTAACTTTCACAGTACCATTCATACCAAGAAGTACATTATCTGATTTGATATCTCTATGAATAATTCCTCTTGTATGAAGAAAACTAATTGCTTTTAAAACTTCTCTGCAAACTGCTGCAATTTGTGCATCTTTCATTACAGTTTCTGTAACAACATCTGTAAGTGGTCCACCTTCTAACAATTCCATAACAACCCATAAATGATCATGAACAAGATACGCATCCAAAAAATTCACTAGATTTGGATGCTGAAATTCCTTGAGCACTTTAATTTCAGTCAATATAAGTTCTTTCTTTGGCTGTTTAGACATATCTATATCTTTAATAGCAACTCTTTGATCAACCATTAAATCTGTAGCTATAAATACAGTACCAGAAGCACCAGCTCCTACTTCTTTAGTTTTCTCAAAGCGTAAATTTGGATCACCATTATGACAAATAGCTCTGAGTTCATCAAAAACCTCTTCATCACTGAGTTTCACACCTGTATACTCTGTCTTCCTTCGTAAAATAGGACTTTCCTCAATAATATTTGCCGAATTGTCATCTTCAGGTAATTGTTCATCATCGATCTGATACGTATTTAAGTCCTCAAGAATCTCAGTAAGAGTTTTCTCTGTTCTATCAGGACATATTCGTGGTGTGGGTTTTGGAGTTTTGTTCACTTTGGGTGGAAGTTCTGGTAACTGTACCTGACTATCCGTAGAATGTGCTGAAATTGAGCCATCAGAATCACCAGATTGATATTTCTTTGATAAGATTTTATCGATTTCCTGCGATTCTTCTTCGATTAAATCTTGTGTAACAAAAGGTTTGAATACTATTTCTTCGGGTTTTCGTTTAATCGAATAATTGTAAAATTTAATAGCTTGCAAGGCCGCGGCAGGATGTTCATCCTGTTCGGACTTTGTTATTTGCGTATTGAGCAAACGAATCCAAGACTCGGGAAGACCCTCTAATTGTCCAGTTTCAGCATTTTTACTTACATGAAATTTATGGGAAACGTTAGTGGGAGGTCCAATTTCAGCGACTGTGTCAACTGTGCCGGTTTTCTTTCGGGAAAATAACTTTGTTATGCTGAGACTCATTTTAGCGCGTAGTCTCGCGCTTTTACCGCGTACTCTTTTACTATTTATCACGATTTTTTCGATTAAGATAAATATGGAAGAAAAACCAGCCACTTTTATAATGTGATTATCATCAAAACATGACTCGTTGGTCTGCTATCGACAGGACATCGAACGTGATTATAAGATTTTGTTAGTGTTAGTCACGTCTCTATAGTGGGTGGCGGCACATTTAGAAAATGGAATGTTTTAAGTCGAAATACTTCATATAAAATGAACGGATTGAACTTGACATGGTACAGAACATTTTTTAATGTCCAATTAATTACAACTTTTTGATATGGATCTATCTAAACGAATTAAAATTAACAAATTGTTTGTCTGTAAATGGTGAACGTAACAATAAGGATTAAAGAAGCACTACCAACTGTACCGAACTAAAATACCGCACCCTGACAGTCTAACAAATATAACTAGTGTAAAAAATCATTATTTTAAAAACTTTATGCTCTGTTCTGATACGATTCTGATTAAGTTATGCTACCATATTTCGCGCCAATATAAATTATGAATTTTTGAACTTATCATTAAAAATATTCTCTTATTTTCTTCTATAAAATCAATATTTAACAATGAATTTACCGTTTCATTTCCTTTTTATTCTTTCAATTATTTTTTCTTCGGTTTTACGTTATCTACTTTGTTTTCTTTCTTTCGTTTCGCTTTGCCTTTTTTATTTGTAAACAGAACGTAATTGGGAAAGCGTTTGACGTATTATCGTATAATATCTTAAGACGTGAACGCTACCAGTGCAAGGGTACATTTATGCATGTATGCACACACAATGGAATGTCTTATTTTCGTCACTGTTTCATTATCGTGGAATGATGCAGAATGTATCGATTAAAGGAATAAAAAAAAGAAAGAAAATACGGCCTGGGTAATCTGGTACTGACTAAAGTAACTACGTTATTGCCTTATGCTCTGCAACGTCTGTATTAGTTACAAACAAATAACTACCATTAAAAATATTGATTGATAAGCGAATTACCAGCAAACGATTGCTGTAGTTCATATCTGTTAAAAAAAAAAAAAAAAAAAAAGCAACGAACCACCTCTCTCTCTTTCTTGAGATGATGCCGATGACGCTGAGGATGTAGTTATGGCTGATAGGTTTTGAGATTAATAAGAAAAAAGACGATACGTTTCGAAGTTACGTAAAGTAATGCTGAACGTTTAAAAATTTTCAGAAAACACTCAAGGAAAACTGTGTTTCTGATGAAAATTGACTGACATCATTCGGAAAGATTAAGTTAATGTATTAATGCAACTTACGTGGCGATATCTTTTCGTTGTTTACGATTGATTGGTGCAAATAATTGTTTGCAGGTTGTTCTCAATGTCACGTGTTTGATACGATACGTGAACTCTATATTTCTTCACCATAAATAAAAAAGAAACAAGAATGAAAAAGATATCGAGTTGTAATTGAACGAATCCAAGGGAAAGAGTGTTCACCAATTTTACTCGATAACTTTATCGTAATCGACTTGATCCCATGATCGGTTTAGATCGACTATGTTTTCGCGAGCAAAAAAGGATCGCGCGATTCTTCATGGAAAATATGTTTTCTAACTACATGAACGCAACAATTTCGTTGCTACATTCTGTTGTTACAATTAATAAATATTTATAACGATTCTTTACATTTGAGAATCGAGTAACGTTCGATGGTCTTAACAACAACGCGCGTGCTGTCCTTTCTTATCGCTTGAAGAAACCGTATTATCAATATGTTTTCAATTCCCTGTCCCCGCTTCATTCTGCCCCGTCAGAATTTTTCCTCCCCTTTCCCGCAATCGTACACAGTATTCATGAGTTTCGTCTTTTACCCAAAGGGTGTCGTTTAAATGTATCCTGGCATTCCCATTGTTTAACCCTTTGAACGGCGGACGGTAGAGATAGCGATAATTTAATTGTAAATTCTATTTTATTCAATTGATAAGTAAACAGAAAAGGAAAAAGAATATTAGGTACATTTGATGCAAATAAATTTTACAAAGTTGACGTAAACACTGACCCTACATCCGTTGTGCAAGGGTTGAGATAGAGGAATTTTTAGAATATAAAGTTATTTATTAGGAATTGATAATCGGTATCATAAGAATTTTATTTATCAAGAGCTTCTCATTTTCCTTTTTTTAAACAAGAATAACTTGGGTAACTCGGAAATCTCTAGTAGTTACACGATAACGATCCGATTAAATTAGCTAGAAACTTCCTGGGCACTGTGTATATTAAAGTTCACGTATTAAATCGACAAATCTCCCACTTTTATTCTCGAATATAAAGAGGAGGGTGGGAGGAGACTCTTTGCCTCTCTCTGTCTCTCCCTCATGCCCCTTGCCCGCTAATAAATAAAATATTAACCGATGGTTAATGCAAATACATTATTCGAGAACGCGCAAGGAAGCGGATACAAGTGTTTCGTCTGAATAATCACGGTTAATACTCGTTCTTCAACAGTGAATACCCTCTCTGTGTCACGTGCGATCGTGTTAAATAATTTCTTTATTTACCTCTTTTCCTTTTTCAACAATCTCGTCGAAATTTCGTTTTCTTTCCCTTTTTTTTTTGTTTTTGATAAAACAAAACGTTGCAAAGAACCATCGTAAAGATTGGTTCGCAAGGTGTTGACTAGCACATTATTGTGTAATGAGCCTTGTACATTCGTTGAGGATTATTTAAAAGGTGTAAGATTTCCTGATTCGCAGTCAACACCTAATTACCATGGTTCAAATGAGGCGACAAGTAAGTCAATCTTTATCATAGCCCGCAAAATTTCATGCTAACGATTAAAATCAAATTCAAACGTGAGACAAAGGGGGAACGTTGCTGATTTGAAAAGAAAAATGTAACTTTTTAATTGATCCAACTTTGTTATACTATCTTTTAATGACTCATTAATATTTGCTTCTGTAGAGAAAATGGTCCGATTATCTTGTTGTTTTCGTGATGATGTAATGTTCTTGCGTATCTACCAAACCTATCTATAAATATAAGAAACTTTTCAAATATTAAAAAGACGCTCATTTGACTATATTAGCGTAAGGACAATGACGATTATTGTTAATTATATTTCTATGATTTTTTCAAAAACTCAAGTTTCTTAAATATATTCTGCAGATAATAACCGTAAATTAGTGAATTAATCTCGATATAGTTGCTAATAAAGTTAAAAATGCTGTTCGCATTTTATCATCACGTGTTTCTTGAAAGATCTCAATGTAACATTTAACAGGGATTATACCACGTGTTCGGGTATAAGTACTTATATTCAGCAGTAATGACGTTATATTTCCCCCCCAAAAAAATAATTGATAACATTCAAATTTCGCGTGCGTGCCTCTAATTGATAATGCATAACCCTTAATTTCATAAAATTTTTTTTATGAATTTCATTGACCTAACTTTATCATTATTTCCGTAAAATATTCACCGCATTATAAAATTTATATTTATCGTATTCATTATGATAGATGTAATGAATTATTCGTAAATCTTAGTTTGCTTATCGTTCGAATTTTTTCATTTCTTTTCTTTTTCATACAAGTCATTGAGCGCAATCAGATTATTTATGTAAAGTTCCACTTTGAATTAGGAATTCTTATTATTCGTTAAACTGCGTACTTCAAACGATGATAGTACCTTTACATATTCATAGCAAATCCTGATTTTAAAAGTAAAACTTTTTACAGATTTTGACTTGTGGAGGTTTACTAAATCAGCTCCAACCCAATGTTAGAAGGAGTTCATCTTTACAAATTAGAGACAAAAAAGTAATACAACCAGAACGTTCGTTCAAGGTATAATTTTTTTGTATTAAAGAAATTTTTAAGTAACTTCTTAAAATACATATTTCAAATAAAGTTTATAAATAATTGTATTTTTAGTATGCAGATTTGTCAGTTCGTCTTGCAGGACCAGAACAGTTACAACCGAAACCCAATGTTAGTGCTTTAACATTTGGAAAATATTTCACAGATCATATGTTAAAAATATTTTATCATGAAGCATTGGGGGGATGGCAAGTGCCAGAAATTACTCCATTTGAAAATCTAGTCCTTCATCCAGCATCAAAAGTGCTTCATTATGCTGTAGAGGTATCTATCATTTAATGTTTTACTAATAGCAAAATAAAATCCTATACAAAGTACTCATTTATGTGTTTATACATTTCAGTTATTTGAAGGCCTGAAAGCTTATAGGGGAGTTGATGGAAAAATAAGAATATTCAGGCCTGATTTAAATATGGAACGAATGAATAGTACAGCAATAAGAACTGGCCTGCCTACTTTTATTGGAGATGAATTAATTAAATGTTGTAGTAGATTAATCAGTATAGATCAAGAATGGGTACCTCATTCTATAGCTTCTAGTCTATATATACGTCCTACTCTTATAGGTATAGATGTAAGTATTTACTTCTTAATGAAAAGAAGTGTAATGACAGTGGAAAGTTGGAATAAGTTAATATAATATGTGGTAATATTCTATAGATGCTTGTTCTCTAAATTAAAATCAATTGTATGATAGGAACAATAATCATGCCACTTATGTCACAGACGTCATTAAGACAGATATATACAAAAGTAAACAATATATTTCTCAATACCTAATGATAATTCATGATAAACAGGGGCGTGTTGTTCTTTCGTTGGAACAGGGCCATAAGATACAGCTAGATCAAAAGCTACATTATGATTGATACATATGTTGCATTGCACAAGTCAACAAGTGTAACACTAATGATGAATACTAACGCGGGGAACTACCCAAGTGTTACGCTCACTTATTAATGAAATTTTGCCACCTTGTAGAGCTCGTTGAGCTGAATACGCCTATGCCCATTTTGGAGGCAAACGTCTAATTGTTTAATAGATATTAACAATTAAAGTTAGTTACTCTTTACATTGTCAAGTATAACAAACTCACACGTGGAAATTGTTAGCCCTGCGGTTAAACACATGGCTATCTCATTTGGCTATTTCACGTATAAAATATCGTATTAAATGAATACAAAACCGATTGGAATTTTTGTTTGAATCATTGTTAAAATTAATGTACAATAGCGTTTATGCTTACATTAATATTACATAAAATTTTAATTAAAATCATGTATTCTTTTATAAGTTGTTGTCGATGAGTCAATCGATGTGTGTCATATATGATGCAACATTTTTAATAACAGAATTCATCTAAGAACATGGTCATGAGAAATTGACTTTAACGTATATTAATTTTTCAACGTTTATCATTCCGACTGAATTTGTTTTTGTAATCTTATATATATATAAAACAATATAAACGTTTTGTTATGTCTGTTACATTCTTCATTTTATCGTTATAATGTTGGGTAATTGACTATGATATGAATAATTGATATTATACAAAAACAGTACTTTTCAAAGTTTGACAAAGTTATGAAAGGTACTTGAATTTAATATGTATTTCGAAATGTGTTAAATATGAAAAAAGTGTAATGCATAATTCTTTTTTATGTTTATGTAGCCCACACTTGGAGTGGCATCTTCAGAGTCTGCTTTACTCTATGTTATCTTATCACCTGTGGGTTCCTATTTCTCAAAAACGGATGCGGATGTTGGTATCTCTTTGTTAGCAAATCCACAATACACAAGGGCATGGCCAGGTGGTTGTGGTAATTATAAAATGGGTAGTAACTATGGCCCTACTATATATGTACAAAGAGAAGCAAAAGAAAAAGGTTTGCAGCAAGTATTATGGCTTTATGGAAAAGATCATGAAGTAACTGAAGTTGGTACAATGAATATTTTCATGTTCTGTATAAATGATGATGGAGGTAAGTAATTTGTTATAATAAATACGAATTTCTATCATTGATGCAATGTTAACTTTTCTAAATAATTATTTTACAATTTTAGAAAAAGAATTAGTAACTCCTCCTTTATCAAGTGGTTTAATTCTTCCTGGGATAACAAGAAAATCTATTTTAGCTATAGCTAGAGAATGGAATCAGTTCAAAGTCAGTGAA